GCATTTTTGTATCAGTATTTTTGTGTACTTTTGGTACTATATGTGCATTGATGGTGTTCATAATGAGCACTTGTTATCGATCGATTTTTTAATGCATTTGTTGTATTTTCGTATCAGTACCATTGTCTAATTTCGGCACTATATGTGCATTCATGGTATTCATAATGAGTTTGTGCATTACCATTTCGATATATTAGTATAGTGTCACTGTTACTAAGTACATATACTTTCGTGTAGCACTTATGTTACTCATGTACCTTGCATTCTCATTTGACATACATTGGTCTATGAATGAATACTTTTGAATATATTGATTGATAGGTATGTTGGGCATGCTAGATATTGTTTGGCAGGTCATTTGACGGAAACTTGGTTTATCAAGTCAGTTTTTATGCGTTTATGTATTTTATATGATAAATAGTATTTTGATCTTATAACGATTTACTCATGTTTTAAAAATAAATTATTTGTTTTATTATTCCTCACTAAGTGAATCCTTAACGTGTGATGATTTTCACGCGTATGTTTAGCGTACGAATCGGAGTGAGGAGTGCAGCTGATATCATCTGTTAAGGATTGCCTCATCAATAATAGTATGACATCTCTAGTTGTTTTATTTTTATAGTACTAGTTGGCATGTACTTAGATATGTTGTGATGTTCTAATAAGATACTTGGTATTTGGTTGTAGTATTATATTATGTTTGAACTTAAATTATTGTTTGACGATTTTTAAACGTTATTTTATATATATTAGTAGTTGAAGAACGTTTTATAAATTATATTATTAAACTGTTTATTTAAAGAAATAAAATTTTACTGGCTTTCAAGTACGAAAATGTTTTAAAATTCATGTGACATCTGTGACTCATGTACGGGGACATATATGGGAAATGGGTGTTACAAGCCGGCCTGCTCCCCGTCCATGAGTCAGGGGATGTTGATGCTGTGATGGTGGACGCTTTTCTTGAAGTCGATGAATGCTCTTGCCTCGTGCAACTGAATAATGATCGACATAAATCAGATCCGAACGGGGAATGCGTCCACGTCGATCCTCCCATATAATCCCGCTCATTGCGCTTTATCAGCCAGTTGACATATTTTTTTGCTCCGTCTATACATTATGCATATTGTTGAGATTCTTATATGCCTCAGGAATAGATTGTATGAAACCAAATTGGCGGAGCATGCGATCAGTATGATGCCACTCGACAATAGCATAACATATCAAAGGGACCGTCGCCATCCATACATCTAATGGGTCACTCAAGTTAGGTGGGATACAATGTCTCATTCTTTAGTAGTACAATAAGGAGTCCATTGAAACTAAAACAACTATGTATAATTCTTATCAAAATAATATTCTAATTATATAACGATAATTAAAGGTAAATAATAAAATTTAAATACATACCTCTATACCATCTTTTTGATCAATGAGTAGCGGAATTTTCTCCAATTCGTCTGATATATCATGATGATTTTTCCTTATACATGACCACATATTCAGTGTAAAAAAATTCATTATATACTTAAAAATTATTTATATACGAACTCAGTATTAAAATTACCTCAACAATAACGGGAATACTAACGAGTTTTTCACGATCGGATATAAAAGGAACTTGCGATAAAATGTCCAGGACTGCAAAAGAATGAGATATCCGTCGATAGTATTTTTTCAATAATAAGTTGCCCGACACATTTCTCTATACAGAGATGTCAAATCAAGGGAAGGTCAGTAGTGACGGAAATGAAAATCCACACGCTCCTGAACTAGGTTCTGAGGGTTTAACAGGAAACTCAAACAAGTTAAATGGATTTTTAACACTGCATCAGATACCTGGGACAAGTCATGAATCTACTCAAGCTGCGGAAATACCTGGATCGAGCGACAATGTGGAACCATGTGACGAAGACAGTAGAGAAGAAAGAGTTGGCGATGAACCAAATCCGAAAAAAAGGTGAGTTTCAAATCAAACGTGGTTATCATATAAATTTATATATCTTTAGTGTTAATAATTTTTGGATAATTGTGCTTTTGACTGCAGGAATGCAGCTGGAGAAGCTGGTATAGCCTTGTCACATAAGACAATAATGGAACCGAAAATTGTCGTGCAAACGAGAAGTGAAGTCGATCTCTTAGATGATGGCTAAGGTGGCGCAAATATGGTCAGAAAGTGGTCAAAGGGAACCCTCATCCAAGGTGCAATGGCTATCATATATTTTTCTCTATCTATGGTTCTATTCTATGCTTTAAGTAGCCGTGTTTGATGCCCATGTCTGGCACACATTGAAGACATGACAATACGAAACAAGTAGCTCTTCTGGTTTATGTTTCGGGATTAATGCATCAAAGTTATTCCAACGGGAGCTACTACAAATGCAGCAGTGCAGGATGCAATGTTAGGAAACACGTGGAAAGAGCTTCGACGGATCCGAAAGCCGTCATAACGACATACGAGGGAAAGAATAATCATGATGTCCCAGCATCCAGAGTACATAGTTTGCCACTGCCAAAACCGAACAAGGTGGCTCCTTTACTTAAAGAGATGGATTTCGGATAAAATGCACAGGGACCGGTAGTTTTAAGTCCAAAAGAGGAGCAAATAAGAGTGCAAGTACCCCGATGTTCGGCTGCTGATCCCTACTAAACATGTAAGCATATATTGGTGGAAAGGGTAAATCAAACACGGTAAAATTCAAGCGATAATAGCCGCTGAACCATAATTTGATTAACTGGGCAGAAGTCCATGGACTATCCAGTTTTGTTTATTGGAGTTGTTTAAGTAATGTTGTATATTTGTTTTACGCTCTTCTGGAGAATAAGTATTGTTAAAGATATGAAGCTTGTTGCTGTTGTTGTTGTATAAATGATTTATTGACCCGAATGAGACACATTAATTTGGTCTGTAAAAGGGGTTCTGTTTTAAAGGGTACGCGAAGTATAGATTGATACAAACAAATGATTGATGGATTTAGTTGACAGTGATCCCAAAACTTGAGGACTTAATTGTTTTTAGAAAAAGTGTGTTTGGAAATTCAGTCCACTTTTTTTTGGTTTACCTCAATTGATGGATGATTTTTGCATTGGGTTATTATGGGAAGGAGGTGATGATTCTTTATTTTTAAACTGTAACTTTTTATTTATAGGATAAATATGCTTTAATAGTAATAGTTATTTTTTTAATAGTAGGATATTATAAGATAACATATTTTATAATTTTTAATCAATTACTTACATATATATACATTATAGATTCAATTATTCGAATTTAAAATATATTTTGGAAAAACAATATTTTATTTTATTATTTTGTTTACGGGAAAATATTTATTTTTCGTAACATTTTATCAGTTGTGAACCAATGTGCACTTACAAAGTAAATCGGAAGATAACTTTATATAAAAATAAATTATAAAATTTTAATAATCTGATCTGATATAAACATCCCCCCCCCCCCAATATTGTGTTTCGATCAAGACATCTACTTTACAAGGAAGCTAGTAATTAATCAGAATCCTGACATTTAGCATGGGTGCAAAGTGTTCATGGTTGAATTGTAATTTGATTTTTTTTATTCAAATTTATGATATAACTATTCAATTTATTTAATATTATAAAAATTAAAATTATTTATATAATTTTAAAATAAATTCTATTTTAAATTATTTTTTAACTAACGTCATTTTTTTCACGAAAAATAAAAATGTATTGTGTGAAAAATACATGACTGCAGCAATACATACATATATATATATATATATATATATTAGACTGAAGGGTAACTATTATTTTTATTTCATTATGGTATCTAATCTTTATTCTATTTTAAAATTATACCTAACGTTTAATTTATGTTTATTTTAGTATCTCGTCGTTAAAAATTTAACGGAATGGTTGTACGTGACATTTATTTTATCTATAAATTCATCATTCATCACTCAATTGTCTTTTCACTCCTATTTTACTAAGTAAAGTTTAAAAAAATTCAATCTAACTACTCAACTTTCAAATTAATTTTATTTTAATCACTCTAATTTATTTTTTAATAATTCTTTTGAGATGACTTTTTATTATTATTTTATTAATATATAATTAAAATGAAAAAATTAAATTCGAAAGTTGAAGTGAGTAAATTATGAGTAATTTGAAAGTTAAGTAATTAAATTAAAAAAATTAAACTTCAGTGATCAAGATAGAAGTGAGAAGATAGTTTAGTGATAAATGATGTAATTTACTCGTAAAAAGTACCACCATTGTTAAGTTTATAACGTGGAAGTACCAAAACGAACACGTTAGGTATGATTTTGAAAAAAAAATAAAAGTTTAGATACCAAAATAAAACAAAAATAATAATTTAGATACTAAACATGTGGTTAACCCTAGATTAAAATGAAAGAAAAAAGATAAAAATAAAAAAAATATGAAGAAAAAATATATACCAATTCTGTTTAAAAAGACAAATATACATATAAAAACACAAAATATAAAAATATAAATACCAGAGTATGAATCGGGCCGAATGGACATATTTAAATTTATATTACTTATTAATAATCTTCAAATTAAGTTATTAAAATTTCTCAATTGACATCTATTCTTTCTTGTAATTTGTGTTTTGGGTTTAATAGACATTTGTTGAAAATAATAATTAATTATTAATATTTATATATGTATATATTTATCTTAAAAAATATTTTTATATCCGCTACCATTAATCTAACTGATCTCTTCTCTTAAAAGATGAAGCGAGAAAGCGAGTGGAAAGAAAGAAAAGGCAGGGGAAACGTGAGAGAGGAGGAATATGTTGAGTTATTTATGTCATTATTATATTGCCTTTTTCTTATCATATACCGATAATGAGTTTAAAGTCGTTAAATGAAAGCAGTGTGGACAAATACAGAATTCAATGATTGCATTATCACTTGCACACATTGCCTAACACTCTTATCTCAATAATACTTCCAAACTATATCAATCTATTGGTAGAAGAATCTGGTACAAGATGTCACACTCCCTCTATATCCATATCATTCAACACTAATATCTTTGTCATGGATATATTGAGATGCTGACAAACCTACAACTAGATACATCCCCAAATCCATCACTGTAGATCATCATCATCTTCTTCTTTTCCATAAATAAAAGCTTCAACGATTTATTTCTTGCCCTCTACAGCTTTATCTCCATATATCCTTGAAACCCAATCTTCCTTGTGCTGTTGGACTGCAAGTGTTGAGGTATAATTCCATTCACTTTGATTTTTCTATAATTCATATACTCTAAAGTATATAATCTGACTACTTTTCGTATGAAAAACCCAAGTTTTCTATTTGTTTAAAAAGAAGTTAAAAAAATAGCATTATTATTGGGGGGGAAAGGAACTCTGGTATTTTATGGGAAATTTAGCAATAAAATTAGTAAGAAGATAGAAAATGGATGGTTTTGAAAATTTGAGATGCTGTCAAGGGTGTTTTGGTGAATTAAAAATAGTGATGGCAGTGCCGTGAATAGAAGGTATTAGGGCGGAAGTGGGATTTACATGTGTATTTATTCTATTTATTAATTATGTTGGGAAATACTGGAATGATATGCTGATACTCATGATATACAGTAACACGTGTCATGATATGGAGGCTTTATGTAGCAATAATAAGACAAGTGAGAAATTATTTCATGTGGCTCCATTTTGTTGGTTCTTTTTTTCAGTCTGCTTTACTTTAAAAAGTTGCCTAATTGACTATCAGATTTTCCCCCTGAAATTTTCATTTACAAATTAGAATTTATTTGATAATGAAAGTTCAATTACTTTATTGAAGTCGTTGGTGGTCGAACACATAATTTTTAGGAAGAATAAAAAAAAATTTAATCATTAAAGTGAATTGGTTCGTGTGTATATATATATATACAGCCTCGTTTCGATCAAAGGAGCAAAACAAATGCTTGATGGAGGAGATAATACAGGTGAAAATGTTTTAATTCTGGTTACATTTCCTGTTCTTTCTGCAGATAATTATAACATATTGCCTTCTTTGCTGCATTTTACTAGAGACATGGTACTTCGTTGTTTTAGACGATATCAGCATTTGTGATTCTAATCCAAGAGTTTTTTTTGTTAGATTTTGGTTGGTGAAGGATCTGCCTCTGAACCTGCATAACCTACGTCCATTCTAATGACCAACAGGGGACGATGGTGACCAATGAACAAGAAAGAGCAATAAATAAACAAAATAGAAAATATATGATCATAAATGTACAGAAAAATGCTGTTGTAAATTTGGGTTTATCGGAATCTTTGTGATGTAAATAAAGATACTAATCAGCAAATGATGCTATGTTTTTCATTGATTTCGAGCACCTTTATCTCCATGTCGTATTTATTAACATGATTTTAGTATATATTGTTTTTGAGTTTTTAATATATATAATTTATGCGTTTATATATGATATTCAATTTATTAAAATTGTAAAAAAATGTGACCTCAACGTTCTGATGATCTCCATAGCGATTATTTTGCCAAAAGAAATACTAGGACTATTATTATTATATAACAACATAAAATGACCAAATAAATGCAGTATCCGCTGCTTTCACTCTAGATGGTCATGTGGCTTGATTGGCATAAACAAGGCAGCATATTGCAGCAACCGGCGGTCACGGCTGTTTTCATTTTGTGTGGCGGAAATAATCAGACTTCTAGTCCTCCTCCTGTACCGTCGCCACGAGAGTTGTATGTTCACCGCCGCCCATGTTCGCCAATTGGATGAGTAGTATCTTGCTGTTCTTTTGAGCCTCTCGTTGGCAAATTTGTACCTAAAGTGATTTGTGATGTATCTGAGATGGTCTGCATCGAGACTGAATGCTTCGATTGGCTCTGAGCAAACAAATGTTGCGGACGAAGCCGGAAGACGGTCCATGAATGGGCAGCGAAGACACCATGACAACAACTCATCTCCGAAAAACCCTCCCGGCTCGATCATACTTGTTGCTACCATGCCTTTGCTAAGGCTTTGGTTGCGTTTTATCCGACCCCGAACTATGAAAACCATTCTTTGTACGGGATCTCCTTCTCTAATTATCTGTTTCCATGGGAACGTTGACAGGTTAAACAACCTTGTAGAGTTGTGAAAGAGTGAGACATAACATAAACTTCATATATTTATACCTTCTCATCTCTAGAGAAAACAAGTGGCCTAACCCGATCGCAGATGTTATCAAGAATTAGATCATCCAAGTTGTGGAACAGAGGAACCTGAGAGAAAGAAACTGGAATCAGACCATAAGTCGGTCTTCGTTGAAATTTTAATGTCCGGACTGCTAGCATCCGGTACATAAGTTGAATGTACATCTAGATAACATAGATTAGTACCTGTTTGATAAGGTCAAGGCAGAGGTAGCGCTTGATGTCCCTCCTTAGCCCTTCAGGCAAGTCTTTGATTATATCCATTTCATCTTCTCCTCCCAGAGTTAACCATTTCTGGCGTTCAAAATGGCGAACTCTTTGTCTCAAACGGGACGGCAACTGTCGACGCTTCATCCACCATTCAATGTCTCGACATCTAAGCTGCATTTTTCTCTTCTTTGCCATGACTGCGTGCAAGAAGACCTTGATCCCGAAAGGATCAATCCATCTTCAGTTCATGTCGGCTATCAAAAACTTGAAGATACTAAACAACTCCATGGAAAAATATGAGTTTTTGAGTGATCACCTGGATGTTTCCAATCAACAAAGTGAAGAGCAGCAACCCAGCAAGCACAATGCATATACTGAAGATCACTTCTAACCAGTGACTTGTTGGTTCAAGATCATTTCCAAAGGTGCTGCAAATTGATATATATACATGAAGCTTGAACAAACAAAACCGTAAGGAAATGGACTAAATGGATTCGAGAAATTAGTGTACCTGAGAGACATTAAACCCCAAAAAATGGGATAAAAGATTTTAACAGCAAGAGAATTGCTTGAAACAACAGGAAGAGCCCACTGATAAATCCCATAACTGAAAGGTCCATCAACATCTAAACACAAAGTTTGGCCTACAAGTTTTGTTGAATTGCCACCACATGCATTGCCAACAGCTTCAGCAGCAGGAAATAAACCCCGGTAACACACCTCATCGGAGCAAGACAACGACTGCTTGCACTGCTTGCTTCTTCCACACTGTTGCCTAAGACACGACACAATGCGTTGTATCGCTAGTACATACCAGCACCCTCCGGCAACCTTTGATGCAAAAAAAGGAAGAGTAATTAATCCCAGTGTTCACTGGTGTTTGTGAAAATGCAAGTTGAATAACTTACATGAGAGGCTATGAAGTAGGCAATGAGATTAAGGCCAAAACGCCACCAAATGGTGCCGAAGATGTAACCTGTGACCTTTTGCATCCTTCTCATTAAGAAAATGCTGTGGTAAACTTTTGGGAGGAATTGTAACAAGAAGATTAATATCAGAATGGTCATTATAAGCTTCATTTGCTCTTCCCTTATTAGTTTTGGTACAACTAACCAGAACACTGCCTGCAAAACAACAAACAAATTCTTTTTTTATTAATCTAGGTAAGTACAAGGCAATATCTATTTAAAAATAAAATCTAAATTTTTCAACATTGATTGGAATTATAGTGCTCGAACCCGAATCCTCATAAATAATAACAATTCTTTTACCAACGAGGTCATCTGATTAGTGCAGCAAACAAATTCTTTTTTAACCAACGTTTATAAATATCAATCACAGGAACCCAAAAAAGCAAAATGAATTATTTTCAAAATTGGGATTGGTGGCATCCCACTTAATATTCTTCACTTTTTGGGATTCATTATAATTAAATAATCAATCAATTACCCCAAAAGCTTGTGTAGGTGAAAAAAAAAAAAAAAAAACTATGCTTCCAATGATTGAGGAAAGCATTGCAAAATCTGGTAGAAAGCATGCCATCATTAACAATGTTTCAAGCTAAACCCCTAAAAATAAATTATTCATTTGTAAAACCATAGATGGGTATTGTGCCCACTCAATGAAAATGAGCAAAAATCCAAAATCCCCAGCAAACCGTTTTCAGTTTGATGATGTGATAATATATTCACAGTTTTGCATTTATAAAAAGATCATAATGCAAAGATATTATAAAAATCAAAACAATATATATCGTTCATGTACAAACCAGGCTTTAAGGGAAGATTAAGAAAGGAGAATACCTGAGGAACTGGGAGAATGACGAAGGCATCAAACCAGAAGCCTTTAAGGGAGCGAATGTAGTGAGAAGCAATGGCAAGTGGATCCCACACGAGTTTACCGCAACCAACGACGAGGGACTCCCTCGACACGTACGCCAGCCTGAACTGAAGCCAAAGGTGGAACAAATGGACGGCGTCGACACCGGTTCGGAGGAACGTTACTACGGCAGCGAGACCACCATCCATGTACAAACAAGGAGAACCGCCTCTGCCTATCGATAGAGCATAAAAAAACAGAGGGTCAATCGCTAAGGCCATGCCACGAGCCAGCAGGAACGCCCGGTTCCATCTCTGCACGCGTTTGCTCCTCGGATCAAGCACGGTCCCAAAGGGCCCCGAGGATTTGGGAGCGGCGGCGCCTCCAGTGGTCTTCTTGCGGTGATGAATGGGGACGAGAGATGAGCCGGCGTAGGCTTCCCATTCAGGAGGGTGAGCTTGGTCGCAGAAGCTGGTGGAATGGAAAACCGGAACGCCGACTTGAGTGCAAGCGTAGCATTCTATGGTGTTGGAAATCGGTTGTCATCGTTGGTTTCGCGGCCGCCATTATCAAAGCTCTCGTGGTGACAGCTTTGAAGCTGACAAAGTCCAATCCACCTGTTAACAAACCAGCAAAAAACAACAACATGAACACAGCAAAAAGCCGAAAATCATGCAGAAATGGGAAAGAAAGGAGAGACCTTGAGAGGGAGAAGTTGAACAGAGAAGGCATGATGGGAAGGGGGAAACATGGGAGAGAGAGAGAAGGAAGTGTGGAGGAAAAGGAAGAGAAAAGGAGAGAAAAGGGAGAGAGGGAAAGGGGGAATTATGGAGTTATATGGGGGCATTAAATTAATATTACACAACAGATGACATGTTCCACGTGACATGGAACAACTAACTCAATATGTATTTTGATTATCATTGGGTTAAATGGTAATTGCATCTTATTTTTGTTATTATAATACACTATTTTTTAAATAAATTAACCAATTAACACTTAAATTTAACTTTTAAAGTATGTTATTCATTTTATTTATTTTAATATAAAATAAACTTATGATATTTTAAGAGTATGCTCTTTAAAGTATCATATAATATATATATATATATATATATATATATATATATATAATTTTAAAAAAATTTAATATTTTAAATAAATTTAAAATAAATTTACTATATATATATGTCACGTATTATATTTAAAAATATACGTTTTTAGAATGTCATGTGACTTTTTAATAGAAAATAAAAAATGCATATTTTAAATAAAAATTAAGGATTATATTAAAAAAATTATATATACCAAAATGTTAATATAATATAATTTTAAAGATTAGTACTATTATTTAATTTATTATTGTATTAATTTAAGATAATATTAAGATTTATGATTAAAATACACATTGTGGAAGTTATTACTTATATCATTATTTAATGAGGTGTCATGTCATGATTAACTGACATTTTAAGTAAATTATATATTATTTAATGTCTTACATATCACTTATTTATATAAATATTAAAATTTGATATATTTTGATTTTATTTTATAACATTAGATTTTATTTAATTAATCATTGATATTCGATCTATTGACCGACTAATTCAGATCGGGTACTGCAGAGGCAAGGGCGACACTCTCAACCCAGTTTACTCCATTTGCAAACATCAGGATTCGAACCCCTGACCTTGCTTAAGAGACCTAGTGTCTCATCCTACTAAACCAATTGATTTAGATATCAGATTAGATTTTTGAAGTATAATATGAAATTCGAACTTAAATAAAAAAAAATTAAACTGACATAAAAATAATATAATTATCTGTTATATATTTGATATAGTTACAATCATATTCTTTTTTAAACTAAATTTTATTTTATTTAATAAAAAATAATTTATATACATATATATCAAATCGGGTCGATTGTACGTGTAAATATTTATTTTGAAATCAACTTAAATTTTAAACCTGACAAAATTATGTTAAATTTGATCTACCCAAACCCATACCCCTAAGTACAAGGGCATAAAATTAAACTTTATAGAC